TTCGGGTGCCTCCCCCCTCAACACCCCTTCCTTGGGTCACTGCCTCCACGGTACGCCAATCTCCAGGTCACTGCCACTACGGTACACCCATTTGTTCGGGCTGATGCCTACACGGTATGCCCATCTTTTTTTGAGTCACTGCCCCACAGTACACTCATCACTTCTGTCACATGACTGTCTACACTTACATTTGCATGTTTGCATGGATAGCGAGCCGAGCTTATTAGGAGAGTGACCTCGTGTCGGTCGCGATGCCTTAACGAGCATTGCTTGCTGGGTTGATCTCGGTGAGTAATGTGAGTTAAGTCATCAGGATTGACACGAGTATGACTGTGCTAAAGATCTAATAGATCTAACTTGTGTCACTGCTCTTTGTGACACCCTTTAGATCCTTCAGATCTTTAGGACGGGGCCGGTATGACGACCCCATCAAAGTCATACTATACCCATACCTACCCCGCACCTAGATACTAGGTTGATGCACTTTCTAGGTAAATGGTGTGGCAGACTAAGATTTAGAGCGCTAGGTAGTCTTTTTGATGTATGGCTATTATTCTTTGCTGGATTGGTTGCCCTAACCAGATATCTTTCTTTTTCATCGTGCCTGTGGTGTGACTGCATGTTGTATATGTGTGGTAGAGTGTTAGGGCATTTTTCACGCAGGGAGCCATGCGTATTTATGCACACACAGAGGTACCGTTGTGGGGGAGCATGTTATGATTTCTGATCGTTTTGCTTGCAGGTGTTATTTAGCTCCCGCACTTTTAAGGCATGGCTCATTATACGTTATATGCATGTGAGTTTTTCCGTTAACACTTGTTTTTATGTAGTCTTTTTCTTTTCTCTATGTACTTTTTAGAGTCTAGGAGAGTCCTGTAGAGAAATAAGATACATGCATGGGTTCTGAGGTGTTTGGCGTGGGAGCCACGTGGAGGGGACCGGGAGCAGATATCTTAATTCTGCATTTTATATTGATGTATAGAATTAGGACCGACCATGTATATGCGGAGTCCGACCGCCTTTTTCTTTTCTGTGATATGTTGCCGACCTAGCGACATCGATCTGTTTATTATTTTGATTTTGCTTGTTTTGTTTTTTGCATCATGTTCATGCCTGCATTTGCATGTGTTTTCCCTGTTCTTTCTGTGGTTTATCTGTGATTTCACGATGGAACATAAACTCATCAGGACTTAAAATCCCAATTTTTCTACTTAAAAATCTACTTTAAAATCTTAAATAAAATATTTAAGATAATTAAAGTTAGGATTAAAATATTGATGATTTAAAAAATGCAACATTTATTTTCCTACATATATTAATAGAGCATCCACAATACATAAGGACCGCTATAGATAACTGTATTATATTTGCATATCCCGAGGAGAAGCCCCCGTGCTTCTCTAACTGACTGGCCCATCATACCTTTATATATTAGGTGGTCGTCTAGCGCGCCTAGGGTGTTAGAAATTTCCCCGACCCAGATGGGGTGTAAGTCATTTTGTTTGGAGCGTTTCCAACTTTGTAGCTGAACCTTCACTTTCTCTTCTTTCCTGAGGCATCATTGCCACTTCAGCTGGTATAAGTCCCACCTCTTGGAGCTTTAACTTATAATTATATAATAGAGTTTCTTTCATTTTTCTCGTGGATGATGCAATTCACGGATTGCTGACCGGGGATCTCAGGTTGTGTTGGGTCGACTACATTCACGACCAGGTAGATTTAGGGTTCTAGTAGCTGTGTATGAAGGGTCTATGGTACCTCGACCCAATTACCTCTACCTTTTTAGGATCACTCTACCTTCCTTTTTATTGTGCCCCTTTGATCCTTGTCGTTCCTTTGACTTCGTTGATATCAACTTGACGACCAGATATTTGTGACGTGCCGCCCATTTGTGATACAACGAATTGTCCTCTGCCCTTATGGCCCGAACGTGCTTTGA